ACGCAACCTTCGCCGCACCATTTGGCCCATGATCTTCCTGTCCAGCGTGGTGAGGTGGACCTGAGCGTTGGTTCAGGGTTGATAGGGTTTAGGGGTTTAGGGTTTAGGGTTTATGGGGTTTAGGGGTTTATAGGGTTTAGGGGTTTGGGGTTTGGGGTTTAGGGTTTAGGGTTTAGGGGTTTAGGGGTTTAGGGGCTTAGGGTCTAGGGAGTCTAGGGATCCTAACTAAATTTGGAGCAACCTCCATCGTGGCTCTACAACCCCGACCCGCAATTGCAATGTGGGACCTGCCCTTTGGAACGACATGCCTCTAGGTCCTGGACTATTCGTAAGGCCCTGCACCCCCGAAACATACAGCCACATAACCCTGCCCTGGAAGCCCAGTCAACCCATATACCCACAGGTGGTGTTTCATCGGTTGTGGTTGCGGTAAGACTGCTAGAGGGTCTATGGGAGAGTAATCCACTACATGGGAAACCTCACGCCTCACACCCTAACAACTAGCCTAAACCGTATCCCTAAAGTGAACCCTAAACCCTTAAAGCCCGGAGCCCGCTACGGTTGATGATATATATCCTGCATGACCCAGAATATAAGGAATATACCATGGAATTCCCATAGTTCAGGGTCCTAAACACTCATGCAGGATTTCTATCATCAACCGTAGGGCCTCTCTTCAGGGTTTAGGGTTCAGGCTTGGCGGATCGAGGCTCGAAACCCCTCAAGCAGAACCCCTACCTGTGGCCCAACAAGCCTTGCTGCTGATTTGTTTAGGGTTTTAGGGCTTTTAGGGTTTCGGGTTTAGGGTTTTTAGGGTTTTTAGGGTTTTTAGGGTTTTTAGGGTTTAGGGTTTAGAGTAAGGAACGCTCCTAAAAAATATGCTGGGGTTTATCGGCTACAGGTAGCTCCTAGACTCCGAACTGAGAATCTCCATCAGCTGCAGGTGCCTTTACTGGAGCTTCTGTCTCGCCCCATGCTTCCAGATGTCTCCTTGGCAAAGCTTTTCTCTTCGTAGCTGAGTAGGTAACCTTTAACCTTTTGGGGATCCGTAGGGTTTAGGGTTGTAGTAGCTGAGTAGGCAGCCTTCAACCTTTTTGGGGGCTTCATATGATCCTCCATGCGACAGTCGTGCGTACACGAATATACTTAGTAGCTGAGTAGATTACCGTTAAGCTTTTGGGGCTTATATGATCCTGCAATAATTGAAAAAGTTAACCTTTTTTGGGCTGGGGTACTCAGCCCCGGGCCCGCACTCTTGTTTTTTTCCTACCGTTGGCGGTCCCC